GAAAAAGCATAATTGGCTAAATCCAGCAGCATCAGGCCTCCAAGATGGTTTGCTCTCCCCATAAGTCACTCCAGCCAAGAGTAATTTATGACAGAGGGTTCCTCAGAGTACTTTATAAAATCTGAGCCACTCTCACACACCCTAGAAGGCTCTCTAAAACCCTTTATATAGATGGCTAAATATGCAAAACGTTGTGCCCTGTTTCTGTAGTTGAAATGCCATGGGTCTGAGTCTCCTCTTGCATAAGTTTACAATGGTGTAACTCTATAGACTTCAGACTCCTGACTCAACCAGTGTGAGTGAGAGAAGACTAAGGAGCTAAGTAAGTGTACTTTTAAGATGAAGTGCAAGGAATTAAACGCACAGAGCATTTTCAAATATGATGAAAATCCACGCATGCAGTGAGTTGTGACTAGTTCAGCACTGACTGATGATAAATGGAAAGAGGGCAAAGTTGGACAACCAGGTGTGCCAGTGAATTCTTCCAGAAACATGTGAATATACAACTTCTATTCCAGTCAAGAAACTTAGCAGATTTGAACCCCCAAACTGAATAAAAATAAATGTCTTCTAATTTCATAAATGACAGCAGGAATGCCTGTCATTACACGTATTAGCAGATAAAATGCCTCTAAGGGATTGGATTATAAGGGGGATCCTTACAAAGCAAAACAGGAAACAGGCTCATTGAACACATCAGCAGCACAGAGTTAATCTAAGGAGAAGTCTTCTCTATATTCATTTTCTATGCCAGGCATGATTGTCATAAGACAAATTCTATTTTATCAGTTCTAGGCGTTATACCTTGAACCCCTATAGAAAACTGGCTTACAATCATAATCATGTTAAGATATCATGCCCATTTTTTCCCCTTGAAGATGTGGCTGGCAATATTCCTAGAAGGAAGTATTTAAAATAAACAGCTTTATTATCTGTGTTACTTAGGAGTTTATCTGAAGGCAGACAAGCAAGAGTTTCAAATATATTAACAAGTACTTCTCTTTCAAATTGTCAGGACACTGCTCTCAAACTCAGGCCTAGTCGGTGTTTGGAAAGCCGCATTGGCTCAGGGAATTCACAGTCTTGGGTGGGCCAGCTTCCAGGGTTCTGCGACACACTTCCTGATTTGCGACAGGGTCTTGGCCCTCACTGGCTGGTGACTATACATAAACTTCCTGCTTCCCTTCTGGACCTGTCTGAGCAATGAGCCATTGCCCACAGGTACTACTCCAACCCACCTGAACCTGCATTGCTGCCTCGCCCGATCCTACAAGTCAACTCGCTGTACCTTTCCCTTAGATTGGATCTCCCAGCAATCAGATCTCTTGAGCAAACTCTTACCGCTGATCAGGACTGCCCATTAACCAGCCTGATTTCCAGGCTTGATAGTTTGCTCAGACCAATTTTTCAATCTCCTGGTCTCGCCCCTGCTCCAAGGAAAGTGGCATGGAACCCGCAGGGGTAGCATTGCTGACCTGCCCAGCTTAAATCAGGGGTGGTCAAACCTGGGTAACATAGAAAACCTCACTGGCCAAGCCCTTACAGGTATCTTCCGAACCCCCTTAAGATCATCCCTTCACCTACAGCTGCAATTCTTACATCAGAATTCCAGACAAGCTGTTTGTCTCAGGCAGGCTTTTACTGACTCTGGGGAAAGGGATAGATCCACAGACACCACTGAAGCACAATTCCTTGGTCTCTCCAGGCACCCTCAGGCTGCCCCAACTTGGATGAGACAGCTGACAGCTCACTGCTCACCTCTGGTCCTGTCAGTCAGGAAACCACAGGTCTGGAAACAGTAATTGGGGAACATTATGAACTCCATTGATTCAGCTTAATCTGGTCCCCACACTTCCCTGTGATACTTGGAATCCCCTGGCTGGCCAAGCATTACCCGAGTATCTTCTGGTGGCACCATATTGTGACTTTTAGCTCAGAGTACTGCTGAACCAAATGCCTTTCAGGCCCAAGTCCAGGTTTCCAGAATCCCCAGCCAGACACCCCACCCGTCCTCCAGGTCTGGTGGTAGAGGGTGTACTGTCTCAAGCAGCACAAAGAGCTTTGTTACTTCTAGGGTTAGCTGTTTCTCCTCCCATAAAATACCGTGCAGACATGATCCCGGAGCTGCTAGGCCTAGTAAGGACAGCCCAGATATTCACCAAGCTGGATCTCCCAAGAGCCTACAATCTAGTCAGGATCCGGCCAGGGGATGACCAGTTTACACAGATGGCACACTTCATTCCCTGCACACAATTCCCCACCACTGAGGACACTGCCTGTCTCTTCATCTCCCATGTTTTCTGCCTCCATGGCCTCCCAGCCACATTACTTCAAACCAGGGACCCCAGTTTATGTCACAGTTTTAGAGGGTGGTATTCCACTTACTAGTGGTGCGTCTCCATACCTCAACCTCCTATCATCTGTAAAAGACAGTCAGTCAGAAAGAGTGAATGAGGTATTGGAACAGTACCTACAATGTTTCACAAATTTCCACCAACATTTGCTCTTCACTGGTTCTATACACAGAATTTGCATAGAATAACATGGACCATGTCTTGACCTGGATTAGCCTGTTTTTTTGCTAACTACTGTTTTCACCCCCATTTTCATTCTGCTCTTCTCACGGTGCCTGCTGTCCTTGCAGCCTCAGATCTGATACACCACATCCAACAAAACCAAGAGAAGCTAATGCAACATCTTGATGCAGCTAAGAAGGCATATGCCACCTACAGGAAGGTTTCGTTTTCACTCAGACCCACCTGACTTTGCCTTGCTGCCTCGCCAGACTCCGTCAGCTGCCTTGCCATACCTTTCCCTTGGATTGACTCACCCACCCAGCAATTGGGCTTCTTGCTTCTTGTGCAAACTCTAACTACTGATTGGGACAGACTTTTGACCTGCCTGATTTCCGGGCATCACAAAAATGCTCATGCCATATACATTTTTAATATCATTTATTGTTTTTACAGTGCTGAAGAATCTGACAGGCAGTTAAAGCAAGGTAAGAAATGCTACTAGTAGATCCTTGCCCCTAAGGGCTTATAGTTTGGATATTTAGGATGAAATCCTGACCCCACTGAAGTCAATGAGAGTTTTTCCATTGACTTAAACAGGGCCAGGACTTCATCCTTACAATCTATTTATATTATAAATAATTTAATTTCTACAGTACCTCAGTACCAGAGAACTGGGCTAAATACTGTGGAAAGGGACACCAGTGATAAGTAAAATTGCATATGTGGGCCAAATACTGCTTTATGTATTCACTTAATTAGTTCCAGTGAAGTCAATGGGACTTATTTGCTTCAATAAAGCAAGCAAGATTTGGCCCTATAATAGGAGCTGGGAGGATGCTCAGCTAATAGACTGACACAAATATTTGAAGGTTCTGTGAAAAACTAAATATGTAGCAAGAGGCTGATTTAGTATAACTTGTAATTTAGGTGGGCAGTAGATACAGGCTTTCAAACATTATTTCATCACAGTCACCACCTTTGAAAATAATGCAATTTTTTTTTCAGAAGCCCTTAGTTGTATTTCCAATACATGTATGACTTGGCCAAAATGACTGCAAATATGTGCAATTCCTGCATCAAAAGAGGGTGATTTAAGGAGCTAGTCAGATACGGTACTAGAGACAGCATGGTGAGATAGGTGTCTTTAGAAATACCCATAATAGAATGAAAGGTTTCAGTGAGATTTTCCTTGCTTTAATCGGTTTGAGCTAGACCTTTAGCATTCTCTTATAAATATCAGAAGCTATATACTGCATTTTTATAACATCTTTCATCTGAGGATCTCATAACTTAATTAAGAGGGACACTGTCAAGTTAAAAATCATATATTTTTATTAAGTAATTTCCTTACCTGTGTTACTAATAACACTTGGGACTATTGAGCTGAAACTAATTTAATGTTCCCCTATTATTATGTTTTGAGGTTGGTTTATTTTTTACATGCTGCTTATCTTGGGAAATGAAAATTGGTTTCTCAGCTTTATTTTTGCTTCTAGTCAGTTTCAGTTGGAGATTCTCCTATGCTAGAACAATGTATTTCCTTTGGGGTTGTAAAAACACTGTAGGGAAATGTTTAAATCCAAAAACACCCTCCCCCCCATTTCTATGTGCATTTTAAAAAAATAAACCAAATGTTTCTATTAATATGAGATTTGTAAGGCATTTAACAAAAATAAAGCCTAGATTGTGGTGCAAAGCTACCTAACAATGTGTTCCTGTTAGTCTCAACACCCCCATGAAAAGGGTGAGAATTACTGGTCTTGTAAAGGTTAGTTATAAGCATACAGAAATTTGACTTGTCAGGAGAGAAGGCACATTTAAGAAATGCACTTGGCTCAGTCAAAGTCTGCTCAGAGCTCTAGAAATATCTAGTTAGCTCACAATAGGCATGCACAGATGCTTATTACAATTACTGATTACCATTATATATATATATATATAGTAATATTATCTTTCTCAATAGTCACTCCCATACTAGTCACATAATTAGTTAGATTGTAAATTACGTGGGACAGGGACTGTGTTTTCATTCTGTGTGCACAGAACCTAGAATATTGTTGGCACTACCAGAATACAAGCAATTAAAATAGTAACAGCAACCATTACAGTACCTATCCTTACAACCTCTACTTAACACGTGGGTAAACTGAGACACAGAGAAGTTAAATAATAAGTCACAGAGCATGTCAATGGTAGAACCAAGAATAGAATCCTAACTCCCACTCCAATGACTACTGACTAGATTGCTCTGCATCTCCCTTCCTTTTCAGGGTATTTTATATCAAGAACAGGAAAGTATTCTTCCCCTAGCACTCCAAGCAGCTGATATGGCAAAACCCAGGTTTTTTTTACTTCAAGCAGCTCTTTTTGCTCAGCATGAGGTTTCCTCTTTCTCTCCCATTCCCTAGGTTCAACAATCAGCAAATCAGTGATTTACTTATGTGACTATAGAACTCCTGCCTCACAAGCAAAGAGGAGTTTTACCTTTTGGTTTGTTTTTTGCTGGTCCACTGCTCAGATGATCCCAGGGGATATAATGTCAGCTAGCAAACTTTTTAAACAGGTGGAGGTTGAAATGGGAAGCAGGTCATGGAGTCAACAGCAGTGAGTCAGCTCGGCCTGCTATTTAAAAAGAAAACTGTAATAAGACCGGAAATAATAAATAAAAATCATAAAACATACAGCCAAAAGGAGTCTCAGGAGCTAGTCAGGAGCAACACAAGTGGACTAAATACAACTTTGAAGCATGATGATGCAGCCTGATATTGAAAACAGAATCCGACACAGTTGTGCAGATGAATCCTTTATATGAAAAATGTTAGTTTTCCACAGGCTTCAAATGAAGTTCTCTTGGTACTCATCTGCAAACATTTTCTTGCTGCATGTCTAGTGTTTATCAGGGATGAAGAACCCCACAGTTTAGTAGCCCAAGAGAACATGAAGTCAGGCCAAGGACAACCTCTTCATAAGAGTCAAAAGATGTGCAGGACATGAAGGATCTGAATCAAGCAAACATTGTTATTCTGTCTGAAAACGTGCTTTCTTTAATAAATATGTGGGCTATCAAAAGTAGCCTTTGGTTGGCTGATTGGATTTGTATGCTATAAACATATGTGATCATTTATTTGTTTGGTCATTTCTAGTTTACTGTAAAATCACTGGAATAGATCTAAAAGTCTGAATCAGTCTTTTATTATTCCATATTACATTACAATAGGGGAGTGTCAGTTTCCCACATCTATAAATTTTTTCACATTTTGTACCTGTTCAAGAACCAGAACGTAATGTGTAAAATCCTACATCTACAGAAAAAGGCACTAACAGCTGATATAACTTACAGGTAACAATCAAGCAGTAACATTTTTGCTGCAATTACTGAGGAAAAAATCCAAAGCTACTTGCACCTGTTTACAAAAATGTTTTACACAGACTCTGAAGTCTGATACCCTTATCTCAGGGATAGCCTTAAGACACATTGGAGATGCTCATTACATATATTGCCACAAAGATGAGCCACAACACAGTTTTTACCCAATGTCCTCATTCCTTTTAACATAAAGACCAGGATTATCCTGAAATAATCCTGTTAGGCCATTGCATGGTGACATTTATTATGTGTGTCCAGTTTAAACAGATGGAGCAAAATATAGGTAGAAGATTTTACTTTGTAGAGTTGAAAGCTTATAATGCTTCAAGAAAATACCCAGTTCCATAGTACATAGTAAGAAATATAGTAAACAAAATGGTAGTCTATGGGCTGGCTACTGAGAGAATAAAGGAATGGCTTCTGTTCCACGTCACTCTCTCCCTTGCCCATTCTTTCTCATTCTTGTTCATTCTCTAATTCACCCACACATTGGCTCATTTATTCTTGCCTATATGCTCTCAATCACTCTTACACTCATTCATTCTCTCCTTCTATCACCCAGGCACCCATTCATTTGTTATAACACATTCATTCTCTCTCTCTCACCCAACCACACTCACCTTCACCCAAACAAATACACAGAGTCCGGGCGGGCCTAACTTACTCTCATCCATCAGTCAACTTCCCCGTGGGCTCGGAGGAGGGGGTAGTGGCAGGAACTCATTGCAGGCACTGGTGAAAGCTGGGGTCCAGAATATCAGAAAGAGCTTTTTCAGCAGATGAGGGGGCAAAGGAGAGGAGACAGGGCCCTGCTCTTGTAGGGGTTGACTAGCAGAGGAGAGAGGACACTCCAAAGTGAAAGGGCCTCTCCTGTGTGTGGAAGAGAGAGAGAGAGAGAGAGAGCAAAAGGAGCACAGAAGAGGTTCTAGCTGTCCAGGAGGAGTCACTCCTGTGGCATCTGGGAATGAGGAAATCCAGGGAGTGCATCAGGCTCTTTGCACCAAAGAATCAGGCACTGGGAGCAGTACCTGTGGGACAGCCACTACTATACATCAGGTCAGCACAGTGGTGTCCTAGAGAAAGGGGAACAAGTACTCTGGCTATTGTGATGGGGCAAGGCCAGATGGCTATGGAAAAGTAGTGGGAGATAGATATATTAGCTCCAGGCTAAACAAATCTCTGGTACCAGGATAAGTGAAATGGCAGCTGCTCTGGGTCAATTAAGACACCTGGGGCCAATTAAGAACTTTCCAGAAGGCAGGGAGAAGGCTAGGTTGATTGGGATACCTGAAGCCAGTCAGGGGCTGGCTGAAACTAGTTAAAAGCCTCCCAGTTAGTCAGGAGCTGTGGGAGGAAGTTGTGCTGTTGGAGAGGCTGAGTAGTACACACCATATCAGGCACAAGGAAGGAGGCCCTGATGTAAGGGTGAAGTGGAGCTTGTGGAAGTGAGGGCTGCTGTGGGGGAAGTAGCCCAGGGAATTGTATATGTTATGTTTCTAAAAGGTCAGCTACCATAGCTGATACTATTAGGGTCCCTGAGCTGGAGCCCGGAGTAGAGGGTGGGCCCGGGCTCCCCCACCCACCTTTGCCCCCTGATTAATCACTGAGATCGGGAGACAACAGAGACTGTGCAAGGAAGGATAACTACTCCTCACCTCCCTCGCTGGCTTATGATGAAAATGGGTCAGTAGACTGTGACCCTTGTCTCTAGAGAGAAGGGTTATGTGGAGGGTCACAGTGAGCCTCTGAGGTTCACAAAATCTGCCAGGAAATGCGGGACCCACGGAGGCAAGGACAGAGCTTTGTCACACTATGTAGAGCAACACAGATCAGACCTAATGACTGGGGAACACTCTACCACACTGGTAAGTGTCACTCTCCTGCCCAGGACTTGAACAAATACTTATGCTGTCCTATTTTGGCAGGAGCCCTGATCTGGATTCTGTTCCTGGCTCTGCCCCTAACTATCCATGTGACCTTTAGCAAGTCACTTCACCTCTCCATGCCCCAGTTTTGCCATCTGTAAAGGGGGATTATATTAGTTTAGTACCTCCTGTGTGGAAAGCTTCATTCATTAAATGCTATAAAGTGCTTTGATATCCTCCAAAGCCTGGCATTATGTAAGTGCAAATTATGATTCTAGTTCTCAGTATGTCCAAAGCTATTTTAGGTATTACCAAAAGGCTCCACTGTAAAACATTAAATTGTCATCATACTGAAAAATAATTAACAACCTACATTTTTGGGGTCCATTATTTGAACTATTTGACTGATTAGTGAATTACCCCGAATCTTCAAGCTGTCAAGGGAGAAAGTAGAAAACATTACAAAGCAGTGCCTAGAAAGGACTATCTGAAAAAACAGACTAAGAAAGAGAACAGGGACCATTTATTCAGTTCATTACAGCAAAACAGCAGGTAAGAGTCAAAGTAATCAGATGTACTGGACAAAAGATGTTGCTAGTGATACTGTATAAAGATGATCAAAGGGGATTAACTTGTAATCAATGGACTGATCCAAAACAACCAACAAAGAAAAAGGCTATTAAGAATGGTATATACCGTCCCCGAGAGAAGGCATAACACACTATGGCATACTGATTTTTATTTCAAACACCACCATACAATTCAAGATCTGATGTATGTGAGAGAAACAGCCTGAAGTGGTCTGAGCCCAGGGGTAGGAGGCAGGGAGTTCCAGTCCTGTCACCAACGCTGCCCAACTGTGGCTTTAGACAAATCACTCTTTGTCTCTGTATCTCTGAGGATAACAACATTTATTAGTATCAGACCCAAATGATAACACGGCTTATGAACATCCCTAAATCTTGGAGAAATTTGGATCCACATCCAAATTGTTGGCTGACCCCATGATGGACTGGACTGAAACGCTGTATCCAAATAAACCTCATGTTAGAGTGCACAACTGTGTATAAACTTTATGGACCACTTACTTTCCTATCAGGGAGCTTTAGTTAGTTAATATCTGTAAAGTGCTTTGAAGATGAAAAAAAAACTCTGTAAAAAGTCCCAATTATTATGCACAGAAGAAACATCCAGCACAAACATTTAAACTATAAAGGAAGTGAGCTGTGCTGGTTAAGGAATTCAGAGCCAGATCAACCGCTCTAGTGAAATCAGTTCAGCTATGCTAATTTACACAGCTGAGGGTCTGGCCCTCAAGGTGCCAGCACTCAGGGACAAACCCACAGCCAATACAGTAGGCTTCCAGACACTGAGGAATTTCTTGCCCTGGCATCACATGCCCAGCTGTACTCATCAAAGACGAAAAACTGACAGCATTGTCTGAAAGACACAGCTTGGGATAATTGCTCCTTGTAGCTCCCCTGTCAATGAATATTATCATATTCTTTTCACAGATAAGATTACTGCACCTTTTCATATTCCTTCATGCTCAGCCCCATAGTAGATTTCTCCTTCTTTACTGAAGTGATTCAAATGTAGCATAATGTAAGGGCCTGATTTTAAAATCCCGAGGATCTCCATATACACAGCTGCATTCATTGCTGTTTTATACAGCCTAGTTGTGATGAGGTGAGGCAATGGAAACAACACACACACACACACGAATTTACATGCACAAGTACATAAATGGCTTGGAATGGATGTTTATCATTATTATGTTACTATTATAATCATTTTATAAATCTAATAAGATCATCAATCTTATAATACAATTATCTAAGTATTACAAATACTATATTCTATATTTTAAATGCTTTAATGGACAATAGCAACATATAATCCAATACGCAGCCTAACAACTGAGCCAACAGGCCTTTGGCCATGGAAAGTTACAAGGAAAAGTTGTGTAGTAACTTGGGGCCAGCAAAACAATAATTAGTGCATATTCAACAGACCCCAAGACTAGGGAAGAAGTATTTCCTGGCATGGGCCCAAGTTTCTATCTTGTACTCATTCACTTGACTCATCATATTGAGTCCCTATGCCTATTTTAACTAATAATATGGGCCCCATAACTGTACTATCTTAGCGGCTCACAGTCTTTAATGGATTTACCCTCACAAGGATCCTGTGAGGTAGGGAAGTGCTATCATCCGCATTTTGCAGATGGGGAACTGAATCCACAACTCAAGTCTCCAGCTAGTGCCCTAACTACTGGCCCTTCCTTCCTTTCTCTCTCTCAGATATGCTATCCCAATTCTTTCAAAGGTTTGTGGTTGAAATCCAGGTCCTGTTGAGGTCAATTACAAAACTCACATTGACTTCAGTTG